CAGCAGGTGTCATCCTTTCTTCAGAGTTACGCATTTACGTACTCATTTGGTGTTACAATCTTTCAGAGGATTATATTTGCTGATGTGATGGTGCAGAAAACAAGCTTGTCTTAAAATGTGCATATTGAATCTTTATGTTTTCTCACTTTTTTTTAATAGATAAGAAATAACAAGAAAACTGCCATTTTAGTTAAAGAAGTGAACCCTAAAAAGAAGCTTTTCTTAGTTTATAGACCAAATACTGGAAAACAGCTAAAATTAGAAATTTATGCTGATCTAAAAAAGAAATATAAGAAGGTACTTTTTTCATTTGTACATTATGCTATGTATGAGTACTTGTTTTATAATAATACATTGAAACTATGTGTTTATGTGTAATTATTTTGTCAGTTTTTCCTGTTTAATGACTGAAATATTTTCAGAAAAGTTTTAAGTCTTGTTACATTAATAGCCCAGTCTTAATGTTACCAACCATTAGGAAACTTAAATTATTTGAAATAGCTTATGTGGTCAGAAAAGGAGACTTCTAGTGCTAAGTACAAAAATCAGAATTTTTTAATTAAGGGAAGGTGTGCAAGACTGAAATTTCTTCTGCCAACTCTTGGCTTTATTGTGAACTACGTGTTTCTATTTTGCAATGATTTCTAGAAAAACTGAATGTTAAGAATGAAAAATTCCTAACAATAATTACTATATTGTTATTACCTTTATAATTATTATTATTATTATTTCTAGCCATTTCACTTGAAAACAAATGTAATTAACCTGGCTATTTGAAAATTTCATTACATAAGAAGAACCTCATGGCAGAACTTTATCAATAGCATTCAAATACAAGCAGTGGCTGGGGCCAGTTTCTCTGTAGAGTCAATTTTAAGTTTGCTTTAGAGACCAAATTAGGCAACCAGTTTGCTTAAAACAATACTGTTCAGTGAGCTTTTGTCTTATTTTCACAGGTGGTCTCAGATGATGCCCTGGTCCACTGGTTAGATCAGTATAATTCATCTGCAGATACTTGTACTCATGCTTATTGGTTAGTATTTTCATTTTTCTCACCATATATTCCAAAGTGTAATCAAGATTTCATTTAAACACCCCTTCACTTTTGAGCTGTCTGTCCCTTCAGATAAGCACATGAGCAGATTATCAATTGCTAGGTATTGTTCCTTCAAGCCGAGGTACTTGTTGGAAGTCTGGAGAACACACACTGTTTTAGGTTTCCCCTCTGCTCTTCACTGGTGCTGTGTTACTTCCAGCCAGCTGTTGTCCACCAGCAAGGACTTAACTATCATTCTTAGGGTTGAGACTTTTTCCTTCTCCTCTCCTTTCCTCCCTTTATTTTTCGTTCCTTTTTTTTTTTAAGCTTTTTTATTGATGTCCCAAATCAGTTTTATTTTTAAGAGTAGGGAACTTCTAGGAAACCATGGAGATGCCTCAGGTAGCTAACAGCACTAGCACACCGTGTTGCTGGGCTCTGGAGCTGATCCTTCTGTGCTACTAGGCTGGCCAGAGGTGTTCTCACGTCATTATGTTCATGTCAGGGCATTTAAAATGCAGTATCTGGCCCGCTTTCTGAAAAGTGATACAGGATACAGATGACTTTTAGCTAGGTTTTTGTGTAGACACATGTAGGAAGATAAATTTGCTTTGATGTTAGCAAGGTTTTGGTGGTGTTTAATTTTAGGAATAAGTGCTGTTGGAAATTAAAGAAGAGCCTTTAAGGTAACATATGTAAAAAGCTAACACACGAAGGTCCTCTCTGGAACATTTGCTTTGGGTTTTAGCAAAGCCCCTAATACTATGTATTAAATTCATCTTGAATTAATAGTGGAAAGACATTTTTTATTGATGAATTATAAAATTTTAATGTCTCCTCCTTTTTCACAATTTTAAGAAATTTTAAGTATGATTTTATTTGTTTGCTGAGGCCTTTCCCACTTACCTGATTTAGAACAATATATTGGTGGTTTAACACTACAGAAATAATTGGCAGGATTACTTTATAAGCTGGCACTAATACAGTCAACTAACTGATATTAGAATGACAAATGTTTAAATGGATATCAAAACCAGTAAGTCAGCCCTTCTAGAGGGAGTCAGACCCCAGAAATAACTGTAATTTTAAAATCAGCAGTGACACCTTAAATTGGAAAGGGTAATCCAGTCCATCAAAAGGGTTACCGTGTCAGAAACTGTCCGTAAAGGCAGATGACCGTAGGGCGTTTTCTATTTGGAATTTGGGTAGACCTTGCAGGCTTTTTATGTGTGTGTGTGTGTGTGTGTGTGTGTATATGCATGTATTTTTTCCTATTGTCCATTCTAGGCGTGGCAATTGCAAGAAAGCAAGCTTGGGATTAGTTTGTGAAATAGGTCTTCGTTGCCGCACTTACTATGTACTATGTGGCTCAGTACTGAGCGTCTGGACAAAGGTTGAGGGTGTTCTAGCATCTGTCAGCGGCACCAATGTGAAAATGCAGATAGTTCGGCTAAGGACAGACGACGGACAGCGGGTTGTAGGTGAGTCTTTTTTTTTTTTTTTTTTTTTTGAGTGGGGGTTGTTGAGCTGTGAGAAAAAAAATCAGATCCTGTTTTTTATTTTGCTTCTTACATCTTAGAATCTTAGCATCTATTCCAGTGGTGGGATGGAGCGAAACCTATTGCTTACTTCCATTGAGCCCCACTGACACTATGGCACTCAAAGCCACTGTGCACAGAGGATGGGCTGGCGTCCTGTGGGGAGCGAGGGCAGGAAGAGAAAAACACACCGAGCAGCTTGGAACATTGATCCCCTGTCCCCACATGAGAGGAGTTAAAGTTTCCTTACCCAGGCCATGTACTCTCCGATTTGCTAACATTCGCACTTTGCCACTTAGAAGTTACTGCTTCAGTAAGCATTTGAATTTGCAACTACTATTCTGTAGTCTCTTCGGTACATTAGTACATGCCAGAGAAGGTGGTATTAGCATACATTTGCAGAGCTGCAGACAGTAGATGGGAAGGCACTGTGCTTGCCCTTCTGTGTCTCCAGCAAGAAGGTGGTGTTCGCTAGACACAAGCCTGCGCTCAGGCGTCTGTGGGTGATGCTGCTGAGTCGGTTAACTTCTGAAGGGGCTAGTTCAGGTGTTAGGTGCTCGTTTAGTTTTTGTATGGAATCTTGTTCATTAAACTTAATATTATGCCTCATTTGGAATTTGCTGTGAAGCTGTAAAATGCAGTATGGTTTTTCCTGTTTGCAGCCTTTATAGGTTCTTACTTCTAATTACAGGTTTGATCATTCCTGCAAATTGCGTGTCTCCTCTTATAAATCTCCTGTCAACTTCGGACCAGTCGCAACAGCTTGCAGTCCAACAGAAGCAGCTCTGGCAGCAGCGTCACCCCCAGAGCATCGCCAACTTGAGCAACGCATAAGAACAGACAGGTTTCAACATGGATGTGTCTGAAGTGCTGTTGAAGCATATCATTTGCATAAAAATCAGGGACAGTTTCCAAAGAATTATAATTTTTTTTTCAGTTGTGCTCTCTCTAGTTAATTTTTTTGGGAATGAGGACAAACCTGGAATAGCTAGCAAAACTGCAGATCAGCAGTGCCGACGGTGGTACACGTGTCTTTCCTTTTGCTTTTCCCGTGGTACTTCCTGGATGCGTCTACTTTGGGTGAGCAGAGGGCTATGTGCGCGTGTGTGTCAGTCTGTCTGTCTGTCTGTGAGTTTGCTAAAGGCTGCGAGCCACAGTTGGTTTAAAAATGCTTGGAACTTCCCAGACTGGCTTTACCTTTGTGTTAAACAGTGCTCAGGGTTAATGCAGTTCACCCACGGCATGGCTGTGGGCCTTTCCCCCAGATGCATGTGTTTTGAGTCTATAATAGAGAAAATATACATCGGTTTCCTTTTCCAACTTATGAAAACAATAGGTTTATTAAAGCATGCAATGAAAGGTTGCATATCATGCATTCAGGTTCTTTTCTAGTTTTTGTTCTGGCAGTGCATGTCTTTGAAAGCATGCGTAAACAAGATTAACACAGAAGTCAAGTAAGGAGAGAGACATTTGTAGATGTACAGCATTGGTTATTGCATTTTTATAGTGTTTATACCTGGGTATTGCTTCAAACCCTGCTAAATCCCCTGCCCCCATTCTCCCTGCCCCAGGTTTCTTGTCAAGGTAATGAGTACATACATTTTCTGTGATATAATGCTTAAAAGTTAATTTTAATGTATTAATAGTATTCCTAATGTGTGCTGCAAAAATGGCTACAAGCCTGCTTTTCTTAAAATTACATTTTTTCTTAACTTAAAGATAATTTTAGAAAGAAGTACAAATTGGCTTCCATCTTGCAAACAGTCTTTTTTTTTTTAACTTCATTATCTTAATTTGCTTTGTCACTCGTAAAAATGGAAAACGTACTTGAGTTGTAAACTAGACAATGAGGAAACACTTGAGGCTTCTGCTGTATGTTTATTTCTTGTGTTATTGTTGTTACCCAGTAACTTGAATACCGTTTAATGTGTTGTAAGACATTGTAGAGTTTATCTCAAGCTGTTAAAAATGGTAATGTACAAATGTGAATAGACACTTATCTATAACATGGGTAAGTTTTGTTTCGCCTATAATAGATGTTTATAAAAACAAGTGAGGGGACAATTGGTCTTTTTGTTTCCTTGTTTTCTCCCTTTCTTTCTTTTTTTTTTTGCTTGCACAGGTTGCACTATTGAAAAATTGAGATTGTATAAATCTGGTCAAAAGCTGCAAGACACCACACTCTTGTAGATGTCAAATAAAAAGTTGTTATACTAACCAGAAGTGGACTCTTGTTTAGGCCTCACCACCTTCAGCAGTAGTCTGTGACGGGGATGCTGCCGGACTTGCGTGTTGCTCAACATTCCAGGTAGCCTTGTATTTTGGCTTAAAACCTACCCCTCAGAATTAAAATGGTGTTGAGGAGTGGGTAAGATGATAGTACTTTTGAATGTTTTTCAAGTTGACCTGTTCTCCTTTGTTACTTTTTAACTTCTGGCAGAATCAGGTGAGATACAAAGTGATGGGAAAGCTAGGGCTCTTAACCTCTTGTGTTTCTTCAAGCCTGCGTTTGGTTGTTTCAGGCTTACCATACATTTTCTTTCTTTGGATTTATTTATTCTTGATGCCTAAAAGAACAAATTGAGAATAATTTCTGTTCTTTGGCATATTTTGCCCAGTGGATGCAACTTTTATCCTCAATCTAGTCCTTATATCTCAGGCAGTAATCCTTAGGAGCATCAACCAATGTCCCTTTTTAGGGCCACTAGACCCAGCTGACAGCCCAGAGCAGAACTGTCCATCTGAACAAAACTTCCCAGTTAGTTCTATTTTTAAATCGGGAGGCAAAGCAGCTCCCATCACCGCCCTGAGGTGAAATAGAGCTGTGGAGGGGAGGCCTGACGAAGTAGCAGCTCCCTCCCGTGAGACAAATGGCAGGGTTGGAGAAGGTAGACTTGGCCCAACTTCCCTTTTTTTATGTTGAGGAATACCTTTTTTTATCAGGTTATGTTTTTTCCCAAACAGCATCAATATGAGGATTGTTTGACATGCAAATTAGTTGACCTGCACGATTCGTGATGTAATGTTTGCTCTTGGAATAGCCGTCTTGATACAAAGGGGCATGTGTATGTTCTGTCCTTTGTAGAACAGCTTTGTTTTACTTTTTTAAAAAAGGTCCAGAAATAAGGCCTCTGGAAACTCTGAGAGTAGACCTCAGAAACGCCACCAGTGTGACAGATGGGGAGCTGAGGAGCTTCGCACCCATGCTCGTCATGGGGCGGTGTGCGTGTGAGCACTGGGAGCCTCTGTCCATCCCCCTCTCAGGAGGTGAACATAATGACCTTTACACTGTGCCCTCATCTAAGTCAGCAAGTTTAGGTTGGCCAAAAATGGGAAAACCCAGCATTCAAGGTCCTCCCCTGTCAAAAAAATCGAGTCTCAACAACAGCTAACTTCTGTCAACCAGATCCTGTATTTCAGGATCTGAATGCCACATCTGAACCCAGGGGCCTTGTCGAACCTGACTTGAGTCCACTTGGCCCCTGCAATGCCTTTTCTCCCTTTTTAGCAATATGACTCTGAGCACAAAGATTTGATTGTAAATCGTGGTAGTGCTTTCAGCATTTACAGAGCTGATTGTACTGAAACCACTTTCCCAGTTCATAGCTGCTCAGATGGCGTCCCGGGCGGTGGGCAGGGGACTAGTGCTCCCCTGATTGAGCATCCTCCATGCCACAAGGTCTCTGTCTGCAGTTCAGTGGGATTGTCCAAATATTTATCAATGATGTGAACTCCAAAAAGTATTTATAAGGTATTTTTTAATACAACTTGATCAAAAAGTAAATATCTTAAGCAGTTTTCCCTTTTTGCTGCTAAATTGCAGATACGTGCTTCAGTATCTTTTCTTTACATTTGTACGTAAGTTGGCAGGAACCTGCATCCAAAGCAATGTAGTTTGTGTGTATGTATATATATATATTTATTCCAGTCGAATTAGCACTTCAGAAACCTTTTTTTTTTGAGTTGCAACAGTAAACCTTTTATTTTGCTTCATCTGTAAAGGCAAAAGTTCTACCTTACTAAGCCCTGGGGGAGTATATTTTAGATGCAAATTTTTCTGGCTGTAGCCCTGGGGGCATTCATTTGCTAATCTCCATGTGATGCTATCAGAACAACTTCTAACAGGCATGACGAGAAAGGGCACCCGGACAGCGTTTACAGTTGTATAATGGGAGTCTTCCCCCAGCCTCCTCCACTTTGCAGTTTAGCAGGAGGGAAAAAAGCAATAGGTCAGAAATGATTGATGCCTCTCAATGTATGAAAGTAGGAGCAGAGGGAAAATATTTCCCCCTTGGGTCCTTTTCTTGATTAGCTGTTAAGGGGAAGGTCCCTATCCAGATACTCTCATTCTGCAAGTGTACCTGAATGCTCTTTGATAGTTTCTAAGAATGGTGCTACACAGGAGTCACTGCTGAGCTGGGATCCAGGTGACAGATGTTTGCTTAGCACAGGCATCCCGATGACAAAGGCAGCCGTTGGATAGTGGTCATTTGTTAGCTGCCCTTCCTCTGTCTGGGGTCTCCTTGGCTAACACCACGTCCATGCACGCGCACTGTGCACGCTTTGCTGCTGGAATGTGCAGCAAGCAGTCCATGTCGTGGCTGCAGCTGGGAGCAAAAACCGTTCGTAAAGGTTTCACACTGGTGCCAATTGTCTAATGCAAAGGCAGTGTCTTTTAAGGGCATGTAAGTGAAGGAAACACATCTACATACCTGCACCTCGAGCTAGCTAGTGATTTTTTTCTGAGTATTTGAGGTGAAATCCAAAACCCACCTTCTGATTTTATGCTGTACTTAAATATATGTACATAATGTGTATATACAGGAATGTTGAGTTCTTTGGAATTCTGAATGTAAATATTTCTTGTAAATTGGGATCCCGTCCACTTGTCTCTCTGCCCTCCTCCCTTCAGTCAGTCCTATTTATTCTTTTCTTGACTTCCCATAGGGTCTTCTTATAATTTTTTTTTAATGTAGAAACATATGAGAAACTTCTTAGTTGAATTTGTTCACATGTATTTTAGAGTTCAGTTTTGCATCTTTACTATAAAATTCCTGTGTCTCTTGTGTTAATATTTTTCAACATGCCTAATTGTGTTTTGCATTTTTATTGCAGATTTTTACTGTGTGCAATGCATTGTACTGGGGGGGTACTTGAGTGCAATTTCTGATACTGTCATTATATGACTAGTTACGCTCATTTATGTTGCTCTTTGGAAGCTATAGTGAGCCTGATGTTTTCACCTAAAAATATTTGTTCCTAAGACTTCCTTTAAGCTCCTCTAACTTCTTCAGTGCATTTGGGATCAAACTTAGCTCTTCAGTAAACCCAGCTTGTTCCTACCCTTGCAAATTTTTGAGGCCTGCACCAAATCCTTCATACTTGTGGCTCTCCAGCTGAGAGGAAGGTCTTGCAGATCTGAACAGTGACTTATGGCCTGCTGCTGCTGCAAATTTTGCCTTCTTAACAAGTTGGGCCTGTACTTTTAACCTGCAAAATAATACTCAGAAACTTACTTTGCAGTGAGCACAGGTAATCTGCTTCTGTTTGCACCAGTTAAGGACATTTATAGCAGGTACAGAGATAGGCCTGGTACATGCTGGTGTCTATACTGACAGGTGACATTAGAGAATGTCCTTTAAGGACAGTTGTCCTCCAAAACAGAGCAACACAACTGTCGTGGAGGCTTCCATGAGCCTTCAGCCCAGGGGCTGATTCTGCTGAGGGCAGACCAGGCAGTTACCTGCGGAGGGACTGGCCAGCAGGCTCCTCTGACCTGCTCTGGCCCCCAGTGTACGCAGAATTGATCTTGACTAGAGCAGCCGTGAAGCTGGGAGCTGAGCTGGGTTAGGCATTCTTCACCAGTTGATTAGTGTGGCCAGTGGGGCAGACCCAGGCGTGGCTCACAGAAGTGGTGATGATCGTCACCTGGGGGACAAACACTGCATTTTTAATTACAGATTTTGCACTTCTAGGAAAATGTTCTTCCATGACTTTCAGGAAAGATAGCTGAGAGTGCCTCTTAGGCCTTTCATTCATGTACACGTTTCATTACTATTCAACTTGGTAGACTTGTTAAAATTTAAAAGTTGTCTGCCTTTAGTAAGCCTCGGGGACCTAATTTGTCATGGAGTCGGGCCTGTCAGGGATGAGCTCCGGTGGGAAGCCGTGTCCCAGCCCGCCCGGCTCCGCGGTCCTCCTCGGAGGGCCCGTGGAGCCGTTGGCCTGAGCGTTTGCAGCAGCAGCTGTCAGGGCACCGTCAGGCTGGTGCAGGGCCCAGCGAGGGACGCCGCCTGGAAGAAGGCACATCAGGCCTTCCAGGGGCCGAGGGTCAGTCTGCCCGCCCCTGAGGGCGAACTCCCCGGCTTTTCCGCCCACCCTGCCATGAGGGCCTTTCTTGCCGTGACAGTATTTGTGGCACTGAAGAGGATAAAGAAGCTTGAGCCTTCTTTCTGACTTCTGCTTTATGGGGCAGAGAGCTTTTTTTTCTACGTAGCACATTGCAGTCTCACCGCCATCAGAAAAGAAATCATCCTGTTCATGGTTTATACTGAATTTGCAAACTACTGATGTTATTTTTCAATAACCACTTGTATCTACCATCAACCATGAGAGGTGGGAAGAGGTACGCTGTATCTCTGCAATAAAACTTTTGCCAGGTTCTACCTCTGCTGAGCAAAGGATACTTTTATACGTAGGCATAGATCTTCCTCCTTTAGTAATCTGACATGGTGCATCTTGAGACAACATGATGGAATCCAAAGACAATTTGAAACAAAGGTGGATGTAAACTTTTGGTTGTTTTTGTTTTCATTCTCTTTTTTAAAATCTCTTTTTATATTGCTACTCTGTTTTGAATGTCCGTCAGTGTATGAAGGGTACGCACTGTTCTGATGATACTGCACTGCTTCGTCCAGCCTTCCGTGGTAGCACAGTACCAAGTGTCCAGGAACGACTGTTCTGACCATTTTGATATGTAACTTTAAAGATTGGGTCTCATGCAATAAAACTGTATTGGCTGCATTTAGCGAGGTTTACCCTTGCGAGTAAAAATGCTCTACCATGAAGCGTTAACAAATTCTGTGTTTAGTTTGTTGTTGTTGTTTTTTGATTTTTGTTTTTCTGTTTTCTTTTTTTGTAAAAACTCTTAAATAAATTAAACTGGCTAATCTGCTGCTTCTCTCTGTGTGTTTTCTTTGTCCGGGTTCTGAGCACCCATTTGAGCTGTGTCAGGGTCACACCGTGCTCACCTGAAAAGCTTCTGAACACTGTGGGTCGGGCTTTTTTATGCCGGCAGTGTATTTAGAGTGAATTCTAGAAGACTTCTCACCACGGGGATAAAATGGAACCGGGCATGTGTTAGAGCAAAAAATGTGTGCACAGCTGCGTAGCTCCAGTTGGCTGTGGGCCGCGCGGAGGGCCACCCCCCTGCGCCCCTGGCGCGCGCCGTGGGGTGTCCCCCCGAAGGGCGCTGCGAAGCGGGTAGCCTCGGGTATGGGGGCCCTGGGGTATACGGCTCCCTATTTCATTCATTCCGGGTGTTAAGCAGCCATCCATCCTGTGCATCCAAGATGAGAGTTCTGCTTAGGAAGAAACAAACTGCTGCAGACAGCTTACAAGCCAGTCACTGCTGAGTGCTGTCCGTGGTCCTCAATCCTCTAGTCTTCAGATGAACTTACCTGGCTCATAAGCTATGAAAAAAGCCTTTTGGATTCTAGTTTTTGCAGAATTGGTCCTTGTTTTTAATATTTATTCAACAACTGTTTAATAAGCAACTGCTGTGTGTCTAGCATGGGGCCACATGCTGTCCCCAGTGGTGTCCCTCATAGGCAGTGATTCTGAAATCGGGCAGCAAACAAGTGAGCAAGTTAGGGTTCCAGGGGTGGTGAGGGTTGGGAAGAGAGCGTCAGGAGTGCCGGCGGGCCTGAGGGTGGGGCCCTGGCAGTGACTGGCCAGTGCACGGGCACCAGCCTGCCTTGAGCACGGAGCTCGGGCTCACCCCTAGAGAAGCGACAGCTGGCCAAGAGGTCTAGTCAGCTCCTTGCGCCGGACTTGGGGAGCCAGAGAATTTGGCAATAAACGGGAGAGAAGACACCGCGGAACACCCATGACAGTGACTAGCTAGATCCCTTAGCCCCGTGAGTGCGAGGGAGCGGTTAAATCTCCCGCCCCCGTGCCCTGTGGCCCCGTCTCACTCGACAGATGTGGAGACAGGCCCGGAAGTCAGGGCACCCGCAAGGGGCGGTCTGTCCCCCGGACCCGGACAGGCATTTCAGATGTTCGGAGCGTGGCTTGCTTGTGAGTCTTCTCTGTGTGGAGTTGGAGATGCTTGAGAGAATCATATTCAATTTGTAGCTTGAAATGCTTATGGGAATTTTATCAAATTTGCAAATGGTGTTAACATTTAGGGGAATTTAGTCTGCCAAATACACGAGATAATTGAGCATTAATTGAAGAACAAGTGAAAGAGAAGTGTTTTACATTTTAACTAAAATTTTACAAAAATGTTTG